TCTCTCTCTCTCTCTCTCTCTCTCTCTCTCTCTCTCTCTCTCTCTCTGTTTAATTTACGTAATAGATCTCCCTACCTTTGCATACTTGTTTGGAGAATTGAAACTCCCTAGAATCACAGTAATCTTAAAGGCGAGGAGGGAAAGTATGCAAGTAGGGGGCCAGGGTGGGGAACAACAGCTGCCCAGTTTGTGTAGAGCTGGAGTGCCCAGCTTGCATAGTTTTGATGCTATCATCTATTATGTTGCCCAGGTGGCAGGAAGGAATAACACAGAAAGCAGCATCTGGCCTATATTTAGAGTTATAACTGAACAGGCTATGCATGCACTAGCTGCATTAAGCACAAGAATTATGAAAATCAAATAACACTGCTTGATATTACACTACCATTGTCCATTTTCTTTTAATATGAACCTGGTTTTGGCCATTGCCTTTTTATAAAGTAGAAGCTAAAACAACCTGAAAGACCCAGCACCACTTACTTTTTTTTTGTGGAGCGTGAACAAGGTGCATATCTATCTAACCATAGAAATCTAGTCAAAAGGCACTCACATACAAAAGTGAAGTCAAGGTGATGGTACTAAATATGATTACTTCTCCATTTCTAAAAAGCCTTTCTCTAAAAAGTCTTTATTTCCTTTAGTAAATAAATGCTGTAATTTATTGATTACAATTAGAAGTTTGAGGGGTAAAAATGGATCCATTTCTCAATAAGAAAATTGTCCTTGTCCTGTTTAGTTTTGATGACCTAATCAGGAAAAAATAAATCAGGATTTGGGCATCCATATTTGGTTCCCAGAATATTCTCAATTGTGATACTTTGGGAATTAATAAGGTGAATGATCACTAACCCTAGTTCCACTGGTACAACTCTATCACTATTTTTTGTTTCTATAATTACTAAACTACCAAAAGCAGCTCAACATTTCATTTATCTTGAAGTTACAAGTAGTTTCAATTATTTAGCAAATGAGAATTCACCCTTCTTTTATGTGACCTACATTTCCTAAAAGAAAAATGGGACTGTTAAAAAAAATCTGCTCTTTTAATCCTATGATTTTTACTTTTAATATCTTTATAAAATAAAACAATTCCTATGTCATCCCTACAGCCCAGTCAACAGAATTTAGCAAGAATAAAATCTGTTCTTGAGACTCATTTTCATCACACCTTTAGGTAACTTCCAGATATTCACATCAATTCTCTTTTTCTAGCACAGAGATCGCTAGGTCCTGGGTCTAGACTCTAGAGGGAAAAGGGACCACATTGTGGTACAGTGGAGATAGGGGCTCCATCTTGAGTCAAAGGACTTGGGTTTGAGTCCTTGCATTGCTATAAGTTGCCCTTCTGACTTTGGGCTTCAGTTTCTTCATCTGTAAAATGATGGGCTTGAGCTAGATGACCTTTCAAAAGTTCCTTTCAGTTCTACACCTATGATCCTAGGTCTCTGTTTATACCACAAGACAGAGATGTTTTGAAATTTAGTGGAGTCATTTACCAGATTGGAGAGTACGAGAGAGGAGTTCCTTGCTGCCCTCTTGTACTCTCCTCCCCAGTAGTCATAGGTCGACCTAGAGCTGACTCCCAACAGGTGACAGTGGTATACTTGGGGGCGGGGGCAGAACCCTACTCTCTCTTCTGCAGAGAGTCAATGGCTGGGGTGGGGGAGGGCAAAAGTAACCTTCAGGGAGTGCTAGCTACTCCATTTTGTTCTATCCCCAATGACGCCCCTTTTTCTGGGTTATGTAAATAAAAGTTATAGTGCTTTACTGTTTGTGAGGTACTTTCTGGAAAAGGAATAGAAACTAGCATCATTTTAAAAGAACTCAGATACAGAAAACACAGCTGTCTATACAAGCTGTAGTGAGGAAAAGCAATTATCCAGGATCAAGTTTCTTAGTTTTTTATCTCAATGTCTTGATAGGATAATGTTTAAACATCAACACCCACATAGACTGCAGGGGGTAAGGATCCCACAAGCCAGGAGTCAAAACAATACCAAAGTCGTTTTAAAAAAATACGTGGGTTTGATAATCATGATTTATTGAATTATATGGTTTGTAATCCCTGTTTTGTTATGATAAGGAAACTTGCCAGATGTGCCTCCTAACAGGTGATCTTACAGAAAGCCGCAGCATGTATGTGGCACACGATTCTGAATTTCGCTATTTATTTGAAAAGATTTCAGTTCAGAATGTTCTTTCCTCCTCCCATTGAATAGACAATGTATTGCATTTCACCTTCCTCTCTTATTTTTGGCCTTTTTAATGTTGATTATTATTATTCCGTGATGATTTTTCCTTCCAACAGTTTTGTTTCCAAACTAGACTGGTTCCTTTCTCCTCCTCCTCCTCCCCATCTCTGCCACAGTCCTACCTTCCACAACATGTAAAATCAGTGCCTGTTAGTAGGAGGGAATCATTTCATGTCTGAGATATGATGAACTCTTATTTGACTCATTTTCTCTCCTTTTAGGTCCTGTATAATGTTTTTGACTCTTTTGTGTCACTGGGTGCTGACAAAGTGACAGGAGTGGACTGTGTGAAAGGCATAGGTGCGTAAATTGAGATATTTACTAATCCTTCCTTCAGAACTCCATTAAGGGTTTGTGTTGCAACATTAAGATCTACAATTAGTGTCACTGATTCAGCAATTTTGTCAAAAACAATATTTTGCATGATTGTCTACATAGCAACAATAATACTTTACAGGGGCAAGTGAGTATTTCTTTGAGTGGATCCATTTACATGCTAAAAAAATGATTCTATAGCGTCTCCTCCATAGGTCCTATAGCCTGTGGAAGCCGGGGTGCTGAAGTTGAAATGCTGAATACTTAGCATGAGCAGTGGGTCTACCAGTCCCCTTTATAAAGAATTTCCCATTTAAAGTTGGAATCTGCCTATTTCAAAGTCATGTTCATCATGTTCCCCCAAACCTGCTTCTGTTCCTCCTGTTTCTGTGGGTTGTATCACCCTCTTTCCAGTCACCCAGGCCTAAAACCACAGAGGCATCTCTGACCACCTCACTGTCCATCATTCCTCAAATCCAGTCAGTTGCCAAGCCTTGGCTGGCTATCTACAGTCTCCTACAACCATCCTTTCCTTTCCATTCCCATTGCTAAATGGTTTCCTCACCTTGGTCCGTGGTCTTGCCACACTCATGTTTAGAAACCATCAACAGCTGCCCATCTCAACAACAACAACAGGAAGTATTTATTAAGAACCTGCTGTGCTGGCAAATACAAATACAAAAGTGAGGCCATATCAGCCCTCACAAAGCTTACATTCCTCTATAGGAATACGTGTTTGTAGTTAAATAAATCCAACATACAAAATAATTACAGAGTGATTAGGAGTGGGAGAAACTAACACCTGGGGGAGTCAGGAAAGACCTCTTGAAAGAGATAGATACTTGAATTGAGCCTCCAAAAAACAAGTGGTTTCAAAGGAGAGAAATGAAGAAGGAAAGTATTCCAGGCATACAACACGATGGAGACAGAAGATAGACTGTCTTAAGAGAGAGCAAGTTTGATGAACCATAGAATGTGTGATCTGGAGTAATGTAGACTAAGGCTGGAAAGGTAGAATAGAGCCAGACTATGAAGATTTGAAGTGACAAACAAGGATTGGCATTTTATCCGGGCTGCATTAGTGGTTTCTTGAGCAGGGAAATGATAGTCAGACCATCCTTTAGAAATGTCCATTTCACAGCCATGTGGAGGACAGATAGGAGAAAGGAGAGTCTGGGAGGAGACCATTTAGGAAGCCATTTCTGTAGTTTAGATGAGAAGTGACAAGGGCCCAAACTAGCCTGGTTGTGGTCTAAGTAGAGAGAAGAGGACAGATGCAAGAGATTTGCAGAAGGAAGAATTGGCAAAATCTGGCAATTGATTAGCTATGTGGGGTGAGTAAAAAGAAGGAGCTGAAGATGACTTGCAATGTTATTTAATTAGAAGAATAGTAAATCTCTCTGCATAAATAGGGAAATCAAGTTGAGTAAAGAGTTTAATAGAAAAGATAACAAGTTCCGTTTTGGATGTATTGAGTTTAAGATGCCTAGAGGATTGCATGTCTGTAAGTAAATGTAGTTGAGATTTCAGTGAGTATGGCAGGGGGTGGGGAGGGGAGGTCATGCCAGTTGCTTGGAAAGAAAAGAGAAGGTTTGGAAGAACTATTGGTGAATAGTTTATGTTCTTCAGGAAGAAGTGAAAGAATTGTTGTGCAGCAGTGAGGACCCAGTTGGATATGGGAAGCATATGTTTGCAGTGAATCCAATCAACATGGTGGTGTGACTTCCTCCAGCCATGTTTAGTAGCTCAGGAGCAGAAGCAGAGAATGTGTATGGTAGAGATTATCCAGGATTAGAGTTTAGAAGGGGATGAATGTGATAAGACATGGGAGCAAGAGATGTAACAGTAAAAGTCAGTATAAAGATGAGCTAGTTGAATAAAGGGCCAACGTTCTGAATGTAGGAAAATGAGACCAGACTGAGGGTGATGGCCTGGGGGGTAGAGTGACTGGAGGTTGTGTTGAATACAGGGAATGATTTTAGGTACAGGGAGAGATGTCAGGACAGAAGTTATGATCTGATGAATTTCAGTTATTTATTGTGGTGGCCCATCACTTGTGGATGATGATGAAATCAAGGGTATGACCATCTCCATGTATAGAATGGGAGATAATGGTAGTTTGCAGCAGAGGTGTCAAATGGGCCTTCTAACTAGATTTAAATGTAATTGGGAAATCTTTAACAAAATAAATAAAAATATAGAACGTAAATAATGTTAATATGTGGTTTTTCTAAGTCAATATGCAACTCTCAGCGTTTTTGGTTTAGTGGCTTATTTGTATTTGAGTTTGATAGAATGGTTTAGGGAACTAATGAACTGAGAAACAAGGCTATTTGAGGGGATAGCAGAACAACAAACCCCAGTCAAGGTCCCCAAGTTCAAGAGCAAGGAATTGGGGTGGAGAGGAAGCCTGGAAGCAAGGTACTGAACTCCTTGAGAAAGAAGAAGAAATGATCTTGGGCTATGATAACAGCCTTGGGGTATTACAATGTCCACTAGGATCTGGATAGGCTGATACATGCAGCTGGAGGAGAGGTTACTGAGTGTGAAGATGTTAATAGAAAAGACCTGGGGGTGGCTATGAAAATAACAAGAAGCATACCTACTCCTCTCCTAACACAGTATGTTAGGGGCATGAGAGAAAGTGCAATGGGCATTGGAGATGGTAACCAGGGCTGTAGAGTTCCAGAGTTCACAATGGAAGGAACTACAAAGCATGATACATAGGGTGGAATAGGGCTGACAGGGATGAATACTCCTATATTGGCTGGTTAGAGAGGGTTAAGATGTAGATTAATTTACCCTCTAATCAACAACCAGGACAGTTCTTCCCCAGGTCCTATCTCAAAGTTAAGTTGTTTCCCTCGCCTGGTGGAGTTGGTGAGAGGGTCACCAGAGATTCAGAGCATCCTTGCTCCTGGTGGTAAGAGGTGGGTGGCAGCAGGCAAGTGGCTGTCCCAGTGCAATGGATGGGATGCTCCTTGTGCTGACATTTTCTATCCTTCACAATCTGTCCCCATACTACCTTTTCAGACTTATCTCCTGCCATTCCCTTTCACACATTAAATACTCTACTGGAGTACTCCATCTGGACTACTTAGAATTACTTGAATATGGCCTGTGCTTTCCTGTCTTTACACTCTGGCTCACATTAACCCCTATACCTTCATCTTCCTTCTTCCTAATGAAATAACACCCATCATAAATTCTACCTTCTTCATGAAGACTCCCCTGGCCTCACCAACCTGAAGGACACTTTCACTTTTTGTAATCAATTCAATTCAACATACATTCATTTAGTACCTGCTCTGTGCTAGGTGCTGGGGATACAAAGAAGAAAAAAAAGCAGTCTATAACCTCCAGAACTTACATTCTTTTGGAGGGATACAACACAGACACAAATAACTAACCACACAGCCAATACAAAATGATTTCAAGAGGCAAGGAGAGCTACAACTGAATTGACCTTAGCTGAGCTTTGAAGGAAGCTAGGACAGAGGTGAGGATGGAGTGCATCCTAAACATGGGAATCCACTCATGTTAAGTCTGAGAAGTAGGAAAGGGAATGTTCATGCACAGCGAATGGCTAGTAAGCCAATCTGAATAGACACAGCATATGTGAAGAAAAGTGAAATGAAATAAAAATGGATCCATTGGTTAGAGCTGTTTTGTGGATGGCTTTAGATGGCAGACTGAGAAGCTTGTAAGCTTGTATTTTATCTTGGAGACAATAGAAAGCCACTGAAGATTTCTGAGTAGTCACTGAGTTAACATGGTCAGATAGGTTTGAATAATGGATTGGGAAGGGAAAAGACTGGAAACAGGGAGACAAATTAAGAAGCTATTATAGTAGTCTAGGCAAGAGGTAATAAAGGCTTGAAGTAGGATAGAGACTGAGTGAATGAAGAGAAGGGAGCAGATGCAAGAGACATTGTGAAGGTAGAATCAACAAAGCTTAGCATCTGGATGAGAGAGAGAGAGAGAGAGAGAGAGAGAGAGAGAGATACACATATATAGAAAGATATCAATATCCATATCCATATATATGTATTGATATAGATGTATATGAATAGAGATAACCATCAAACTGATGGATGCAAATGAGCTCACCATGGGAGAAAATGTAGAAAAAGAAGACAAGAGGATCCTGCTTTAGGGAAATGAAAAGGATAATGATCCAGCAAAAGAGATCAAGAAGTTGTGGTCAGACTGGTAGGAGAACCTAGAAGACTGTTTCACATAAGAGAGAAGTGTTCAGGAGGAGGGGATGGTCAACAGCGTAAACAGCTTCAGAGAAGACAAGAGGATGAGGATTAAGTAAAAGGTCATTGGATATAGCAGAAGAGTTTTTGTAACCTTTCAGAAAGCATTTCTAGTCAAGTAGTGGGGGGGGGGGGGGTGTCAGAGGCCAGACTACTAGGAATTAAAAAGTGAATGGGAAATGAAGAAATGGAGGCAAATATTATGGAAGATCCTTCCTAGCAGTTTATTTGTGAAAGGGAGAAGAGATATAACATAATCAGTTGAGAGGATGGCATGGTCAAGTGAAGATTTTTTGTTAGTTTTTTTTTGTTTGTTTGTTTTTAGGTGGTGGGAAACAAACCAGTGGCAAAAGAGTGACTAAAAGAGGGAATGACTGAAGAGGTAAACACTCGTAAGAGACAGGAAGATATGGGCTCAAGAGCACAAGTAGATGTAGGCAAGAAGAGAAAATTCTTTGTCAGGGAATACAGCAAATGAGAGAGTGATACACACATTTTCTGAGGAATGAAAATGGAGGCAAAGGGATCTGACCTGGATTTTTTTCATTAAAGTAGGTGAGAGGGAGGGGTGATTTAAGAAGTTTGTGGAGGGTAAAGAAGATTTGAAATAACCTATAGCAAGAGTAAAATGGTCAATCAGAGAAAAATACAGAATTTCCTAGAAACATTGAGGGCCCATTAGGTAACAATTAGACAGGTTATGTGATTTTTTTTTTCAGCAGTATTCTCTAGTTTTTGAGTAGCAGCAGAGAAGCTAGATGAGGTATTTGTACCATTTGACTGGGATTCATCCTCAAGAGACCTGATGGAAGGCAGTGCCAGTTTATTGTCTCTCAGAATAGTTTGGCGATCTGAGTGAGCGAATACTGAATGATTGGATCCCCAAGAGCCCCAATAAACACCCCCACCTCAATACATTGTGGCACTTGGCTCCTGGTGTCTTGGTGGTTGAGACCCAGTGATGCTGGGTTATGTTCCTCTGACTCCAGACCTCTGGTGGTCTCATAGCATGAGAGCACTAACAATGATTTATTAATTATTATGTGCCTAAAGGAGGGAGCATGATAGACTGCTGGGTGTGGAGTCAAGAATACTTGCCTCTGATAGTTACTGATTGTGTGACTGTGGGCAAGCAAACCCCCTCCCCCCAATTTGCATTTACCTTGTATCTATTGTTAATTTACTTGTCTGCTAACGTGTTCTGTCTCTAGTAGATGCAAAGTGCAGGAGCCATTCTGTTGGGGGTTTTTTCTGTCTGTATCCTCAGCATCTAATGCACAGCCTGGAACTTAGTAGGTGCTTAATAAATTCTTGTTGAAATTGAATTGAATCTTCATTCATAAAACTGTGTTGGCCCAACACAGAGAGAGTCTAAACTCACTCTTAAGAGTAACCTGCCCCTAAAACAGTCACTGCAAAATGAAGTATTTCTCTACCCAGCGTTTAGAACATAATCATCTTCTGTTCTTTCTTCAAATGGTTGGCCATGGTGTCAGGTCATTTAAGGAGAAAGTCTGAAATTTCCTGACTTGTCCTTCTGTCTGTGATGGGGGAAGGGGGGATGCTTTTTTGAGGAACAAGCCAAGTCTCTAGAAGAGATATGAAAATGTGTTGGTCCTGATGGTTGACAATGAGAACTCCCCCGCTCCTCTTCTCTCCTCCCCTGGAAAATAGTAGCTGGAGCTTTAGCCGCTCATGTGTGACATACAGCGCTGAGAAGCAGAGAATGCAGTCTCTTGTTTCCTAGTTTGTTGATTCCTCAGTAGGATGGGGTTACTGAGCAACAAATGACGAAAAAAATGATCATAAGAGACAGTGCTGTCACCCACGACACTGGGGCCCTAGGATGCCTGCAACAATGAGGCCATTCATTTTGTATCAAAGTGTTGGTTCTTGTCTCTCTTATAGTGTCTTTCTTTGTGGTGAGCATGGGAGGCACACTCATTGGAGTTATCTTCGCCTTCCTTCTCTCTCTGGTGACTCGTTTCACCAAACATGTCCGGATCATTGAGCCAGGATTTGTGTTCATCATCTCCTACCTGTCCTACCTCACCTCTGAGATGCTTTCCCTCTCAGCCATTCTTGCGTAAGTATCTCTTCCTTAAGGGGACGATGTCAGCTGCAAGAAAACAGTAAGGCCCCAAATCTTGTCTGAAAATGAATACAGAAGAGGAGTATGCCAGTGACGGGTGTTTTGGCCTTTGTTTGGTTGGGTTAGTCATAATCACTGGCAAGTACAGTATGTTCCAGAAGTAAAACCCTTTAGGAAGTCTGTGACATCAAATAGCACACAGCTGACATTCACTCAATAAAAAATGAAACATTCTTCTCCTTCTCTATGCATATACCACCACATTGCTCAAGAGAATGTAAAATGATCAGGACACAGTCTTCTCCGTAGACATAAAGTGATCTCTTCGGTAAGATGGGGCCCAAGACCATATGTTGTAGGCCACATCTGCTAGCTTATAAAGAATCAAAGAGCGAAGAAAGGAAGGAAGAGTGGGCCGTGGTTCCTCATGTTGGACTTCCAGGAATAAAATCAAAAGGATGGTGAAGCAATTGTCTGGTGAATGAAGACAGAAACCAGGCTATTGGGGAAAAGTAGGTGCTCGTAGGCCTGAGTTATCTAGGTTGTCTGATCATTAAAGGATTCTCCATTCTCCTTCATATGATTAGATGCCACCTTAAAGGATTAAAAAAATTCACTACAGAAACTAACATTCTAATTTAATTCATTTTATGTCCTTTATTTGAGGGACAAATAAGTCAAAAATTGTATGAGATCAACTATCTTTTGTTGATAGATGACACAGTGGATAGAGCACTGGGCTTGGATTCAGGAAGACTCATCTTCATGAGTTCAAATCCAGTCTCAGACATTTACTAGCTATGTGACCCTGGGCAAGTCACTTAACCCTGTGTGCCTCAGTTTCCTCATCTGTAAAATGAGCTAGAGTTGGAAATGGCAAACCAACTGCTCCAGTATCTTTGTCAAGAAAACCCCAAATGGGGTCATGAAATGTCCCACAAGACTGAAAAAAATCACTAAACAACTAACAAAACCTTGATGGTACAGCTCAAATAATTCCTCCCGAAATTTTCCTTGATATCCACCCTTCCCCTGTCCACCCAAGCTAGAAGTGATTTGTTTCCTTTATCTGATCCCATAGCATTTTATATTTTTATTTGAAGCATGTCTTCTTTTCCCTACTAGGTTTTAAGCACCTACAGGACTATCTTATCTATCTTTAAAACTTCCCAAGTACGTAACACAATACAGTGGACGTAGTAAGTGCCTAATAAATGCTTATTGAATTAATGAACCGATTGACACATGACTTCCTCTGTCTGAACTATATAAATTGAAGACCTGACTTTGAGTTCCAGATTTGGAACAAGTGGCTTAACTTTAGAGGCCTCATTTTCTTTATCTGTAAAGTAAAAGTATGGAACTAGACTATCTCTAAAGCCCTTCCAGATCTAAAACCTAAGAAAGCCAAGAGTTTAAAACAATGACAGCGTTTAGGCACAGTGAAATGAACAGATGATAGTCTATTAAAATAATTCAGGTCTGGGGCAGCTAGGTGGCACAGTGGATAGAGCACTGAGTTCAAATCCAACCTCAGACCAAACACTTGACACTTACTAGCTGTGTGACCCTAGGCAAGTCACTTAACCCCAATTGCCTAAAAAAAAAATGATGATAATAATAATAATAATAATAATTCAGATCTAAAATGCCTCTTTTTCCCCAGTGGCAGATGTTTAGGGCCTAACTTGGGGGTCCATGGCATTCCTCAATACTCTCACCGCCCTTTGCCTACCTAGATATACCCTCTCTGTGGCTGGTGGTCAGTTGCTGTCAGTTCCTCCACCTCGAACGCCAGTGTAGTTATCCTCAGACTAAAAGACCTAGCAGATCTTCCATCAGGAATATAAGAGAGTCAGAAAATACGTATTAAGTACATCGCTTGTTCTTGTTACTACAGACTCTGATCTAAACTTACAACCTACTACAGACTGGAACTTAGTAGGTGCTTAATAAATGCTTGTTGAAATTGAATTGAATCTAGTTACCCAATATTATACTGCCTTTCTTTGGATGCGTTGTAGCTCTGGACTCTACAGCATTAATTGTTATGTGGCAACTGGAATAACGCCAGATGGAATCCTCTTTACAAATAAAATTGCTGAGATGCATACTTAGATATATTTATAGCTTAAATGATTTAAATTTAATGAAATAACATTTTAGAGGTACGAGGGACCTCAGATCATCTAGTACAGGGATGGGGAACCTGTGGCCTCAAGGCCACATGTGGCCTTCTAGGTCCTCAAGTGTGGTCCTTTGAATCTAAACTTCACAGAACAAATCCCCTCAATAAAAGGATTTGTTCTGTAAAACTTGGATTCAGTCAAAAGGCCGCACCTGAGGACCTAGAGGGCCACATGTGGCCTTGAGGCCACAGGTTCCCCATCCCTGATCTAGTATAATCATTTCATTTTACTTGTGAGAAAAATGAGGTGAAGAAAGATTAATGTGGGGCAAAGCTGGTACTCCAACCTAGGTCTTCTGGCACAAAGTCCAGTTTTCTCTCTGCTACGTCTCTTCCTATAATCCTTCCTGACCTGCCTCTTCCAGTACATAAATTAAGTAATAAATGATTATTTATTGAACATCTATCATGTGTTCAGCTTGAGGCAAGATCCTCTGTGGGAGGGGGAGATGCAGAAAAGCATAAGACAAGAAATACCTTTCCCCCAAGAAAATCTACAGTCTAGCTAGGAAAATTAATACACACCAGAGCTAAATCATATAGTCTAGACCTCTAATTCGGTAGAAATTCAGGGGAGGGAGACCTTTGAGAAGTGGATTAGTCAGGGAAGGCATAGCAGAGGAGCTTGAACTTGACCTAGACAATAATAAGACAGGAAGACAAGAGCTAGAGGGGAAGAAACAAAGCCATGAACAAGGGTACTGAGGTGCCAACGGGCGTTATATATTGGTGAAACAGTAAGGATTCTGGCCTGACTAATTTAGGGAATGTTGGCATTCTGAAACCCACATACTGGCACCATGGACTTCTTATGGTCCATCTTGTAAAAAGATGGCATTGCTGGTTTGGTTCAGTCATTTTTCAGTCCTATGGAACTCTTCATGACCCCATTTGGGGTTTTCTTGGCAAAGATACTAGAGTGGTTTGTCATTTCCTTCTCCAGCTCTTTTTACAGATGAGGAAACTGAGGCAAACAGGGTGAAGTGACTTGCCCAGAGTCACACAGTTAATAAGTGTCTGAGGCCGGATTTGAATTGAGGAAGATGAGTCTTCCTGATTTCCAACCTGGGGCTCTATCCACTGTGCCACCTAGCTGCCTAGCATTGCTGGTAAGAACTTACTATCACAAAAACAAGTAGGTGATGGCACAGTGGATAGAACATTGGGCTTGGAGTCAGGAAGACCTAAGTTCAAGTCTAGCCTCAAACACTCACTAACTGTGTGTGACCTTGGGCAAACCACTTCACCCTTTTTGACTCAATTTCCTCATCTGTAAAATGAGCTAGAAAAGGAAATGACAAACCACTCCAGTATCCCCACCAAGAAACCTTGAATGGGATCACAAAGATTTGGACACAACTGAACGACAACATCTTTTTATCTAAACTCTCTTTACTTATTTTTATCTTTCTTACTTCTGCTCTGTAGTAGGTCATGCTATAGCAAGCGTACACAATTAACAAACTTTCATTAAGTCTATTAAGACCATCTAAATAATATAATATTTCACAGAGGAGGTCATTTATCTGAGTAATTGTGGATATCTTTCCAGGATTACTTTCTGTGGCATGTGCTGTCAAAAATATGTGAAGGCTAATATTTCTGAGCAGTCAGCCACCACGGTGAGGTATACCATGAAGATGCTGGCAAGTGGGGCTGAAACGATCATTTTTATGTTCCTGGGAATCTCTGCCGTAGATCCGTACATCTGGACTTGGAACACAGCATTCATACTCCTAACGTTAGTCTTCATTTCTGTCTACAGAGTCATTGGTAAGAAAAGCCGGCCTGCTTCACTTAATTCTAAACATTGTCACATAATCCCAAGGTATCACAACATGAAACCTGAGAGGACTGAGCCAGGAATCCTTTGGAGCATGTTTTCAGTTTAAGGGTTCCTCAGGAAGAAAGAAGGAATTCTGGAAACATAGCACAGGATGCATTTATTAGATTTTCCACCAAATCTTTGTCTCTTAAGTTAAGCACCTTAGCTGTATAATACAAAGATTTTCTTGAGAAACCAAACTGTTATAGACACTGAGAGACAAATGATTCTTTCCTGGTTGCTCGCTTTCTCACTGTCCCAGTTACATACCAGGGTACAGTAAGAGCATTATGACTGTAGAGTGGTTTAAGAATGGCAACAGATGTGTTCCTGGACTTTTAGGTCAAGGAGAAAAGATGAAGCAGAGCTGAGACTAAGGATGGCCAAAGGAGGCAGCCACCTAGAAAACAAGGGAGAGGGAGGAGGGAAAGGATGCAATGCAGGACACATTTTAGTTTTACTTTTTATAAATATGCAGAATTTTAAAGACACAAAATTTTCTTCATGGCACATAGATACTTACTTCAGCGATATATTGTTACCTTTTTATAGTGATGATTCAATGCTGCTGATTGGCAATAAACATAAGGCAATGTTTTAAATTGTGGGTGGGGGCACAATTTATAAACTTTGCCTGGCAAACACAACCTCTGGTTCTGTTTTGAGTGGGGTAATGAATTGTAAAGAACCTAGGGGTGGGGAACCTGTGGACTCAAGGCCACATGTGGCCCTCTGGGTCCTCAAATGCAGCCTTTTGATTGAGTCCAAGTTTTACAGAACAAATCCTTTTATTAAGGGGATTTATTCTGTGAAGTTTGGATTCAGTCAAAGGGCCACGCTTGAGGGCCTAGAGGGCCACATGTGGCCTCAAGGCTGCACGTTTCCTACCCATGGGATAGAGCTTGTCATCATTTGGTTTCAGATTGACTTACTTAGAACTCTGTCATTCCAAAATTATAATGTAGTAAAATCAAAGCAAGTAAATGGGGCATGGGGAAGGGAGTTTGGGGAAAATCGTCTTAAGATGCTTTACAAGCTTTCTTTCAATAAAGAAGTCCTTGCTCTTTCAACATGAGCAAGGTCCATCCTGATATTCTCATTCCACAAGTGGTAGTTAGTGAAATAGGGGCCATTACATAAATTCTCTGCCTGCAGAGTGACTTGTAGAAACTAAAAAGTTTCCCATTGGTTCCCAAAGTACTGCAAGGTGGGTAAGGAGGGAGTGGCAGCTGGGAGATTTGAATCCTTGTGTCTTTATTCATGAACTTGGCACTGTTACATATAAGTTCCCACAAAAAAAAAAAAAAACTTCCTTCTCTTTTCTGGCAGTCATGTTGGGAACAAAAAGTTAGAACTTCCAGTGAGAATGTGCAGTCGGGAGATGAGTGATTTCAGTTTCTTTCTGTGGCATTAAATTCTGCAATCAAAAACAATGCAATAAGCTAATTTTAAGCTTGAGTTTGAAATGCTATGATCTAAGGCTGTACAAAGTTACAGCTCATATTCACCCATCCAAGATAGAAATCATTTCCAGTGACTGCTGAGAAACTAAGAATTGGAGTCTGCACCATCACACACTGAAAATGTCATGCATTACCAAGTGGATAAGGGTTTTAAATTGAGATGTCAAACCTCTGTTCATATTTTGAAGTAAGCTATTACATTTAGGGGTTGGGGAGTATTTTTCTATGTCTCATTAGGAGAGAGTCTGATGCTATTAAGGTTCACTTCAGACTTTCCAATATGCAAACACTATATATTTTTGGTTTGGACACTGGTCTTAGGAAGGCTGTGAGAGGTATTCTCCAGATGAATCTATGATAAAAGAAATCCAATAGGAAGAATAGTGTTGGATAAGAAGTTTAGAAACTGTTTCTGATCACCCTGTTAGTGGGATTTCCTATTTTGTAAAATAATCATGAAACTATATTACCTCATCCTCCACATTTCCAGAGAATGGAATTACCATGCTAGGTAGAAGCAAATCCCTACCCTTCATCCACCTGCTAGGCACCTGAACAGAAATTTAAGAAAGTAAGGGCCTCTGAGTGCTGTTTTCTATGGGTTCCTAAGCCTGTTCCTTCTAGACAGACTGACAGGAAGATTAGTGATGAAAAATAATCAAATGAGTCCCTGGCAAAGTAAAAAACAGCACATTCTTTCCCCAGAGCTTTCTTCGGGGGTTAAAGGGGAGCCTGTGTCATAAGTAGTAGGATAAAATTGAGTAGCAAGTCTGACAAAATTTAATAAAAACTTTCTACCAAGCTTTACTTTAGAAGCGAGATACTAAACAAATGTGTTTATGGGTGTTGAGACCACAATGCATATTTTTTTTCCTAGGTGTGGTCTTACAAACATGGCTTCTGAACAAGTATCGGATGGTCCAGCTAGAGATAATAGACCAAGTGGTCATGTCGTACGGGGGACTCCGGGGGGCCGTTGCTTATGCCCTGGTCGTGCTTTTGGATGAAAACAAAGTGAAGGAAAAAAACCTCTTTGTGAGCACCACCATCATTGTGGTGTTCTTTACCGTCATATTCCAGGTAATTAAGTAGCCGGGTTTTTTGTGCTTAGACTGAGGGACAGAGGCAGAATGGCCGTCCTTAAATCCAAAGGGGTCATTAGCTGCAAATGATTATTATAAAGTGTTTCAAGGCACCAGAAGCCTAATTGGCTTTGTAATTTTAGTAACTAGGAACCTGTTTTATAGGTTTTCACGTGGCACCACATGGGACCCAACACAATTTGTCCTGCATTTAAAAAAAAGTTCTTCCTCAGCCTGTAGCTGATTAACAGAGCCCAAGTTAATATTTCATCTGGCATTACTCAGCACCAGCCAGAGTAGCCCCCTTTATTTGGCAAGAGGAAAGGATCATGTCAGTGAAGAAAAGCACGTAGGTGCCATTTTTTAGTACCCTGCCGAAACTAAGAATCCACACAGGTCATTTGCTTAGGTACCACTCTCTTTAGGAAAGCCAGGTAGGGCAAAGACTGCTAAAGAAAGAAAGCTATGTTCATTTTCTCTGCAGTTCTCCATAGGGTGGTGGTATCATAGATATAGGCCTCAGCTAACATTCAGAAATCATTCTTTCCACAAAGTGACTTCATTTACTTCCATCCTACCAACACAGAAAGTTTGGTTAATTTGGCCATGAGGCCATTTTTTTGAAAAAATGCTTAATTCATAGCATAACAATGGTAAGAAAGAGGTTCCAATTTCAGTTAGATTGAAATATCAGGGTGTCAGGCCTTAATTAAATACTCATTGACAATTGAATGTGCATTTCTAGAACTTTGGACTATTTTTTAAAAATCTCTGACTGCCAAGGGTTGAGCTACTGATAGAAAAAGAATATCAGCCCCTGTGATGATGGGAACTATCAATTTATACTTATGTGGTTTAGTGGAAAGATCATTTGGATCACAGAACCTAGATTCAGATAGTATAGTGGCACAAGCATGTAACACTGGTAAAATTAGTTGACCTCTCCAAGTCTTAGTTTCTTCATCTATATAATGGGACAGGAGAGGGTCAAGAAGGTTGGACTATATTAAAGGTTGTTAAAGCCCTAGTGGGTCAATGATAGATTTTCAGAGATGTCTTTAATTTTTTTTAATATTGTTATAATTGTATTTTAAAATAATTAGTTTCCTATGTAATCCTGTATTTTGTATGTTATGTATTTAAAAACATTCTGAGAAAGGATCCCCCACTCAACCAAAAGAATCCATGACACCCACAAAAAGTTAAGAAATAGGAAACCTTACCCAACTAACAGACTCTATGAAAACTAGAATAGTCCAAACAGAAAGCGATGACTCCTGAAAATGCAAGAAATATTAGAGTGAAATCAAAAGATTAAAAAAATAGAATAAAATATATCTGATATAAAAAAAACTGATTAGAAAACAGTGTAAGGAGAGATAATTTAAGAATAATTGGATTCAGAGAGTATGAAAATAGGTGGGCTAGGGCCTAGAGCAGCCCAGACCCCTGGTAAATACATCAATAAAACTTTAAAATGCACCATTAACTGGCAAAATAAGGAGAATCACCATTAGACTCCTCTACCCATCCCCCCATCCCAGGATTGCACAGAAGAAGAAAAAAAAAAAAACACCCTGGACACAAGGACTATAAGAGAACCTGGAAAAATGAAACAAGAGATACAAAATGGAATAGCTAAGGTAGAAAGAATGGCAAAGAAAACTGACACCTTAGAAGAAATAATAGAAAATGTCACTCAAGAACTGAATGCCCTGAAAATTAGAATAAACCAAATAGAAAACAATTCGTTGAGACAAGAAATATTAAAACAAACACAAAATTAAAAGAGTAATAACAACAGAAGAAAAGGTGAGAAACATATTAACCACAACTGATCTGAAAAACAGTTCAAGGAGAAATAATTTAAAAATTATTGGACTTCACAAAAAAATAATGATTAAAAAGACCACATAAGATATTTCAAGAAATTATAAATGAAAAATGTCCAAAATGAAAATGTGATCGTGTTACCTAAAACGTGGAGAAACTAAGCAGAGAAAGAAATGAACACTGATGCAAAACATTTAAATAAAATGTTAGTAAATAGTCTATAGCATTTTTAGAAAGATTATACCTATAATTCAGTTGAATTTACACCAGGAATATGGGGTCAATTTAACATATATAATATAAATATAATAAATCACATTGATAATATAAATAATAAAAATGATAGATTATAATGATAGAAACTGAAAAAGCTTTTGATGACATTCAATTTTCATTTCTATTAAAAGCTCTAGAAATCATAGGAATAAATTGACTTTTCTTCAATATAATAAATATTGTCTAAAATCATAAAAAACTGTCTAAAATCATAGCAAATATTACATGTAATGAAAGAACTTTAGAAGCCTTTCCAATAAGCTCAAGAGTGAAGCAAGAATGACCATTCTCACCACTACTATTTAACATAGTGCCAAAAGTGCTAGCTATAGCAAAAAGACAGAAAAGAGAAATGAAAAGAGTAGATATAGGCAAAGAGGAAACAAAATTATCATTTTTTCAAACAATAGAATGATTTACTTAGAAAATCCTAAAGAGTCAACAAAGAATTAATTGGAAATTAATAAATTCAGCAAAGTTACATGACATAAAACAAATCTACAGAAATCAACAGCATTTTTTTATATTACCAACAAAATTTTTTTAGGAAGACCTAGAAAGAGAAAGTCCATTCAAAATAACTATAGAAGGTATAAAGTATTTAGGTCTTTATCTACCAAGATACCTCTGTGAACTATATAATTCAAGTTTGAAGCACCTATTGCAGAAATATAGACCTAAGTAAAATTGGAGAAATATTAATTGCTCACGGATTGGTTGAATAGCTATGAATGTATCTGGCCATTCTGAAAATCACCTTGACACTATGCCCCAGAAGTTATTAAACTATACATATCCTTTGACTCAACTATCTCACTACTAGACCTTTACCCCAAATGGATTAAAGAAAGCAGAAAAGGAACTATAGGTCCAAAAAATATTTATAGAAGCTCTTTTTATGGTAGCTCTAAACCAGAAATGAAGGGAATGCCTACCTACTGGGGAACGCCTATACAAATTATGGTATATTCATGTAATGGAATATTATTGTGCCATAAAAGAATAACAAAATGTATGATTTCAGAGGAAATTGGGAAGACTTTTATGATTTGATGTAGAATGAATGGGGCAGAACTAGGAGAATAATTTATGCCATGACAACAACATTATAAAGAAAAACAATTTTGAAAGACTTAAGAACACTGATTAATGCAATGATAAACCTTGAGTCTCGAAAACTGATTATACCACCATAATCCAGAGAGGTAATGGACTTAAAATGCAGGATATGCATTTTTGGACATGGCCAATGTAGGAATTCGTTTGGTTGAGGGGGTGAAAAAAGAATCATTGGACTCCTTGAAAATCATGATTTTTATAATAGCAGACATATTTAAAGAAATCGCAAATGAAAACTATCCAGATCTATTAGAACCAGAGGGCAAAGTAAAAATAAAAAGATTATACCAATCACTTTCTTAGAGAAATCCCAAAAGGAAAAGTCCCAGAAATGTCATAGCCAAAATCCAGACCTCCTACATCAAAGAAAAAGTAATACAAGCTTATAGAAAGAAGCATTTCAAATATCCAGGAACTGCAGTGAGGATCATGTTGTTGTTGTTGAACCGATTAGTCATGTCTGACTCTTTGTGACCTCATTTTGGGGTTTTACTGGCAAAGATACTGGAGTGGATGTTTCCTTCTGCAGTTCATTTTATAGATGAGGAAACTGAGGCAAACAAGGTTAAGTGACTTGCCCAGGGTCAGACAGCTAGCAAGTGTCTGAGTCTGAATTTGAACTCAGATCCTCCTGACTCCAGGCCCAGCACTGTATCCACTACACCACTTAGCTGCACTGAGGATCACTTAGACCCTGGCAACTTCTACTACAGATAAGATGAGATATTGGAACACAATATTCCAAAAGGAAAAAGATGTAGATATAACCAAAAATGACTTACCCTGCAAAGCTGAATATAACTCAAATGAGAAAAAAATATATACCTTTAATGGAAGAGAGGACTTCCAAGTATTTTTGATTAAAATATCAAAATTGAGTTGAAACTTTGAAATACAAAAACAAGAATCAGGAGAAATCTATAAAGGTAAGTTTCTTCAAATAGTGGGAGCTGTACAATGATGATCTATTATTCTAAAGTAGGAAAAGATGCAATGTCTTTATAAGGTGTTGAGAGAATTAAATAAGAAAAATAGAGGCTCTGGGAATGGATTGGTTCTGTTCTGAGGATTTTAAGAAAGGAAAGAGAAGGTAGAAGGGATACACTAGTGTAGAAAGGGGGTAGCATTTGCTATTTCTAATAATTGGGGTGTGTGAGAAGAGGATACACATAGAGGAGAGTGTGGCGAGAGTGGTCAGCAGACGAATCTCACTCTTATCCAAGGAGGATTGAACATACACAAAAATATCAGCCTCCACAGGGAAACAAGAAGGAATAGGGAAGTGATTGAGAAGAGGGAAAATAAGACTGAGGAAGAAGCAATCACAAGCAAAATAAACTCCCTGACGCAGAAGGGGAGGCTAGAGGGGGAAAAGAAACTAACTAGGATCAAAGGGGTATCTATCAATTAGAAAATATCTGAACAAATAGGAGAAGTTTCCAGAGAATCCTGGGTAAGGTGGAATGATAGAGTGAAGGGAGTGGACCCAAGAGAACAGTTTATACAAAGACAACAACATTGCAAAGAAAAACAACTTTGAAAGACTTAAGAAGTCTGATCTGCAATGCAATGCAATGATCAAACAATGTCTCCAGAGGACTGATGATGAAGCATGTTACCTACTTCCTCACAAAAGTGATGGACACAAGGTGCAGTACTGCATCTATCCCTGTGGTTACAATATGTACTATGCACTTCTGTTCATGAATTTTTTTAAATACAGTTAATATATTCTGTGTTTGAAATCAGGAAAGCATACAGTACATTTTAGAAATATTTCCATGAATTTGGAGTTTTAAACAATTTAAAGCTCTTGCATTTAAAGGGTTCATTTACCAGAAGGACTCACTTGTTAAAGACTCTAGAAAGCTGAGTTTCCACTAGATTAAATATTCGAGTGGAGAATATTGTTTTGGTTACTAAATTTTTTCACTCATCTTATCTCCCTAACTTAAATATAAGAGCTTCATATTTCAGGATTGAACTTTATTGAATACCCCATAGCATCTAAAAACCACAACAACAACAAAAAAAAAAAAAAACCAGTAGGTGTGTGTAATAAATGCTTGAGAAATGTTTATTGATTAAAGATTTTAGACCCTACTAATGATAATGTGGAGGCAGCTAGATGGCATAGTGGATAGAGTGCCAGGCCTAAAGTCAGGAAGACTCATCTTCCGAAGTTCAAATCAGTCTTCAGACACTTACTAGCTGTGTGACCCTGGACAAGTCTTTTAGCCCTGTTTGCCTCAGTTTCCTCATCTGTAAATATGAGCTGGAGAAGGAAATGGCAAACCACTCCAGAATCTTTTCCAAGAAAACCTCAAATAGGGTCAGGAAGAGTCAGACACACCTGAAAAAAAAAGACTGGACAATAACAAATAATGATGAGCCCCATTTTTCCTTCTGTGATTGGGGAAGTGAATGTGAATAATGAGTAAGAACAAGTCATCTTTGATATGGGGAATTGAGGGTAGAGATGGTTTTAGTTTCTCCTACAATAGTCCTGGGTTGGGGTAGGGTATGAGGAGAGTGAGACAGCAGAGCCAAGATGCCATTATAGCTTCCCCATACAGCCCAACAACTTCCCTTCATTAATGCTGGCATATCCATGGCAACGAAATCTCTAATCCAGCTGAGTAGAAGCCAACCCCTGAGATAACATGGAAGATGGAACTGAGGGAACATTATTTATGCCTCCTAAATGTGAAGAGAAAAATCATAATCAGCGTAAAATGTGTTTTATATTTTGTATTAAATGTTATTAACAAATATTACTAATTAGTACTAGAAAAACAACAAAAATATTTATGCTAGCATAAATGCACTATTATAGTATAGCCATAGCTTATGTTTATTGTTCCTTTTCCCGAGGAAAATAGAATGTTTTTCTTCATGGGCCTGAACCCACAATGGAGAAGGGGATAAGACATCCCTTTCTGGAGGAGCCCCGACTTCTTTTTTTCATGCCTTTTGTGTGTGGGAAGAAGTAATTTTCCAAATAACCTTGAAATGAATTAAAGGAATCAATGACATAAAAAAGTAAGCAATTTATTACCTTCTGAGCTCCAGGTCCGGTGAATAATCCAGTGAACAAAACCCTTGTAAACAAACAGGCAGTTCAGTGAGTATGCATATGTAAGATGCGGAGAGTTCTGAAGGAACAGGTTTTATTGGTCTCCATTTCATGAAGAAATGAACTTAGTAAATTTAGTGGCAGCAAACTCCCAGCGCAATGCATTCAAAGCATTTTATCCCGTTATTAACCTGTAGCTCACAATGCCCCTGAGGTATATCCGGAATGAAGAAAACAGTCCTGTTGTGGCTGTGGCTAAGGCTAGTTTTGTGAGTGCTAAAAGGCTTCATTTTATTATAATGTGATGGACTTTCCCTAAATCAGAGACTTGGATGATAGAAGATAGCATCTCATGAGCAAAGCCCCTTGAGATAATGTTGAGTTCATATCAAAAGTTCCTCCCTGGGAGTCAGATTTCTGCCAAATACTGGCCTACAGAAGTGTTGTTTGTTTTGTTTTTTAATAAATGATATTAGAGGTGACCCAGGATAGAGATGGCCCATTCCCTGTTGGTAACATACATTAACCACAGTCCAGATCCACAACACTGTCAGCCTAGTGTGTGTGACGCAGTATATTCTAATGCAGGGACTTGTGCAGTCATTCCAGTCATGCCCAACTCTTTGTGACCCCATTTGGGGTTTTTCTTGGCAAAGATACTGGAGGGTCTTACCATTTCTTTCTCCAGCTCATTTTATAGGTGAGGAACTGAGACAAACAGAGTTAAGTGACTTGCCCAGGGTCACACAGCTAGTAAGTATCTAGGGCTGGATTTGAACTCAGGTCTTCCAGACTCCACTCCTCTCATTCTATCCAGTGCACCGCCTAGCTGTCCCCAGTGCAGGGACTACTAGCAACATCCTGAGCTTCACTACCAGAATGTGTTAATGCTATTGACAGGCCTGAGGCGTAGACAGAAGAGAAATAAAAAGGGAGAAGAACAACAAGCAAGAGAAAGGCATGAAGGAGAGAAAAGAGATGGACATGCTGGGGAGGAATGGAGATGTCCTGACTACGTAGTCCTAATTCCTGCTCTTCCATTGGTGTGATCTGAGCAATCAGCATCCCCTATGCCTCTGCTATGAAACTCCACATAACAGCTTTAAATTTAAAGGACACCACAAATGTTCAACATTCTGATCTCCCTAAAAGGAAACTTTTGGAGGCTATATAAATTAAAATTTGTAGTGTAAGCACATTTCTTTCAGCCTCGTTTCCTTTTTCTTTATAGCCTAGAATAACATGAGTTTGAGTCAGTCAAGTGCTTATTCATACATAGAGTCATCCCTTGATTATTCACACTAAGGGGAAAAGCAAAGATGTGGGTAATGCAGGATGACAGGTAATCCAAAAGTCATTTGTTTCTGGCTTTGTATCTTTCATACAACTTAGATTTGAATACATCTTCCCGTACAATCCTGGGGCTGTCCTCTGTTTCATCATAGTATGGTTGTGACCCTGAGGTCTGAAAGCTATGCGATCAGAGAACAAGCTTTGGAATACCCTTCTAGTGATTAATTGTATGTCTTTTGTCTAAGGACCAACCTAACCAAGTTTAAGTAAGAAGTGCTTAACGCCAGGATGGCTGCAGAGTGATGGATTCTTTGGCCATAGTAACTCTCAAAGACTACCTGTTAAATTATAGGTTGTAATCCTCCACATTGGTGGATGAATTGCTCATAAAGATAAGCTTGTAAAGCCTTGAAATATTATTGATGCATAAGATTTGACTGCAGGTATAATTGATGTTCTGAAAATTAACTTCAAAAAAAATTGAGCTACTCTGTGAAAATCCGAGAAAGAGCTAAGACCTACTTTTTGCTCAACTCTTTGCTTCAACCCATTCCAGTTTGCTTCTCTCAGAAGAGGCGGAGTAGTTAAGTATTTGGATTTCTATGTGAAAACATGAACAACAGGACTTGAGAAGTCAAAAAATAAAAAGAGTAGGGTAGTGGTGAGCCAATGAGGTAGAGCCCCAGAAAATGAGTTCCTTGAAGGCAGAAATTACTTCATTTTTGTCTTTACTTGGCACAGTATCTTACACAGAGCAACTGCTTAATGAATTCTTGTTGAGTTAAATAGTATTGACCATAGGCATCAGTAAAGGTTGTATTACAGAAATGGTTCAATTCAATATTCTGGTATTCCAGGGGCCTTTCACATTTCCTTTTCATCCAGATCATACTCCCTTAATAAACACCTCAAAATCTCTTCTCATTGTCTCAGAGGACCTGGGGTCAAATCCCACTTCTGACATTAATTACTTATGTGACCTTGAGCCAGTGACTTAACCTCCTAGGGCATCAGTTTCCTCATCTGTAAAATGAAGATGTGGAAATAGATGGTCTCTGAAATCTCTTCTAACTAATCTATAATCTTATAATCCTATGTTCCCTATTTCCCCTCTGATAAACAACTCATTCTAAGATTCTTTAGACCACTTTCAGCTGGAGAAATTTATGTTCTTGACTATTTAGCAACTGCAGCATATGATAAGACATACTAATGATGAGAGAGAGTCTTGATGATTAATATGTATTTTTGGTAGAATTTTATGAGGGTTTTTGCCGGATAATCTAATTCTAGTGGGACAGCTGTACTGATACAGTAATGCCGGGGAGCAGAGGCAGATTAGCACAGACTATTTGACAGCCCATCATTGCTTAATTAAGCATCACAAGCCCTGATGGCCAATAGGGAATAAACAAATAACAACAACAAAGTGTTAAAATTAGAGTGGTTGCTAAATTACAGCAGAGTTTTCAAGAGGATTCAGTACCCAAGTGTGGGTAGACTGTTTACAGATAATTGAGGACTGACTGTAAGTTTCTCTGGTCTTGCAGGGTCTGACCATCAAACCCCTGGTACAATGGCTGAAGGTGAAGAAGAGTGAGCACCGAGAACCCAAGCTCAATGAAAAGCTTCATGGCAGAGTAAGAACTTGCAAGGGCAGTGAGACAGGAAAGAGGTCCTAGCATCAGTCAGGGTAATCAGACCGATAAGCACCACTGGTGCCCGCCTTCACCCAGCGATTGCCCTTTGTGAGCCTGGTTTCCCTTTCATGTCGGCTTCATGTGCTCCAGGCCTTGAGACACAGCCAAGCAAGCATTAGTTTCAAGACCCGTTGAGTTAATTCCTGAAAAGGAGTAACCCCTCTTAATCTTCCAGGAGGGACAAAAGAGAAGGAAGGAGGTGTTGAAATGGGAACATGAGCAAGGAGGGACTAGAGTAAGAAAAGAGAACACAAAAAGAAACAGTTTCTGAGGATTATTAATGGAATTATCTTCATTTTTAAAGGCTTTCGATCATATTCTCTCTGCCATTGAAGATATATCTGGACAAATAGGACACAATTACTTAAGAGACAAGTAAGTGGTTTTAATTCATCTTAATGAAGTTGAGTATTTAAGAGAACATAATGTGTCTATTTGTCTCAGCTTCTATTTGTTCTATTAATTTTACTGTTTTAATAACTATTTATTTGTACATGCTTGTTTATATCCTTAAATGTGCCTGTCTTTATAAAAATGTAATCTTATGAAGCCCTTTTCAAGTTAAGGAGGCCCAAAGTCTTATTGAAAAACGATAGGTTTAAGAGTGATATGCTATTTGTTGACAGTCAACAATATTTGTTGAGCACTCACTGCATACAATAAAAACAGGCTTTTGTTACAAAATTAATTTGAATTAGAGAATATAAAAGAAATAAAGGATATAGTTTGAGATGTATGGAATAATTTAAGAACACTTGTCAAGTAGCATAAAGAAATTTTCATAATATAGCATAATCAGGCATATGAGCATAAAGCATAATTTCAAATAGCATAAAAGTATAGAGGTTCAGAGAACCTCTTTGAGTCTTGGCACCTTCGAGTTAGAAGGGACCGTAGAGTCACCTTTATGGAGGCAGCATGGTGCTCCCTGTAGGGAGCTGCACTTGGGCCTTGGAGCCTTTGACCCTGATAAACTGTGGGCCCAACGGGCAAATTCCCTTCACCTATCAGAGCCTCAGATTTCTTCCCTGTAAAATAGGGATGGTAATACATTCCTCAAATTATGAGGGTTAAAGGTGATATTATGTAAAGTGCTTTCAAACGTAAAAGTGCTGTATAAATAGCTTCTGTCTAGTCCAGTCCCCTTATTCTGCAGATAAAGAAACTGAGGCCTGAAGATACTGAAGGTATTGTACCCACTCCTGCTGTCCAACACTTTTGTTTTACATCTTTAGGTGGTCCAATTTCGATAGAAAAGTCCTAAGTAAATTACTGATGAGAAGATCAGCCCAAAAGTCCAGAGACCGGATTCTGAATGTTTTCCATGAGCTCAACCTGAAGGATGCTATTAGCTATGTGGCTGAGGTACTTTCAAAAAGTATTTTGGACTATTGACCATAACCCTTAAACTTTGTCCTTAGCCTCACAACAGTTTAAAAATTCTGTGTGAACATTGTCTAATTATGTTCTCTGTTTCCGGTTTTACTGAGTGGCATTCTTTGGAATCACCAAGGTTTAGTACTGCCTTTCCCACACTGTCTGACTGACAAGCCGTAGGTTCTGAGTGTCTCACTCCATTTCCATTCTTAAGGCTGCCTCTCATTGCTTTGACAGCCATCCTTCAAAGGATGTCATCAGAGGAAGTCATAATTTTTATTCTCCTTCCATGTCTTTCTCCAAAAATTATGCCTTTCCAAGATGCCTCTTAGTACAAAGATACCATAAGATCTTAGAATCATTATACTAGTCAGACCCATGGTCCATCCAATTTGATTCTCTGTGGCACTGAAGGATATGTCATAGGAAACAATTTCAACATCTTTGAAGTCAACATCAAAGGTTAGTCATGTACCTAGAATGGAAAGGTAGAAAGTAGCTTAGAGATCACCTAATCCAACCCACTCATTTTACATATAAAGAAACCGAGGCCCCAAATTTGTGTGTATATGTAACATCATATGTTATTGTGATAATATATTAATATAATATTCAATGTTATCTTATAATATATACACATGTACATATATGTATATATACACATATATTACATTATATATTATATTATTGTAGCAACATATATTTACATAATAGTCTTCTATAATTACATATTTATTTTGCTACATTATTTAATTTTTATATACTGATATATTGCAGCTGTAATTATATTTAACATTCTTATATATTATATTATCTAATATTATATTAATATATTATATGTTGTTACAACAATATACTATTATATGTTTGTGTGTGTGTATGCAACCACACATACATATATATTAGCACAAATAGCACATGCCTGAAATGTACTCCCTTTTCACTTCTGCCTAGGAATCTCTTGTTTCCTTCAAAGCTCAATTCAGGCACCACCTCTACCTGAAGCCTTTCCTCATCCTTCCAGTCCCTAGTGCTATCCTCCCCACAAATATCACATATTCCTTTTTATATAGTTTAATATTCATATATATTTACATATACACATACATACGTATATATGCATATATATATACACATACAAACACATCCCTCCCTTGATACATAGTAAGCTCCTTGAGGTCAGAGACTGTTTCATTTTTGTCTTTTTATAACCAACACGTGTTTTGGGAACAGGAAATAAGCCAGTTCACCTGGATTGTAGAGTGCATGTAATTGCCTTCACAATCTGCCTCCACCCTATTTTTCCAAGCTTATTATATGCTATTCTTCTTCACAATACCTATCATATAGTATGCTCTTAATAAAGGCTTATTGGTTGGTTGATTGATTGATTAATAGAAATCAATCCAAAATGCAAACAAAGGCAATGTAAGATAATTTCAGGAATTAGGGCACCAGCAGGAAAAGCTTCACATAGGAGGTGGCACTCCATCTGAACTTTTAGGGAAGCTAGGGCTACTTGTAGGTGGAAAAAAGGCCCGAATTCTAGGTATGAAGACAACCGAGGCATGGAGACAGGAAATGGAATGTCACAAATGAAATAGATCAATTCATCTGGTTTGTAGAGTACATGAAGAAGAGTAACATAGAATAAGCCTGAAAAGGTAGGTTGGAATAAAATTGCCCAGGGATTTAATACCACATAGAGGAGTTTCTGTTTTATCTTAGCAGTAATAAGGAGCCATGGGAGATTTTTGAGCAGAGGAGTGGCATCAATCAATCAACAAATATTCAACGAGCTCCAGCTATATTCCAGGCACCATACGAGGTGCTAGAGATACAAACACAAAAGTGAAATAGCCTTAGCCATCAAGGAATTTATGTTCTCTTTAGATGGTTAGATCTGTGCGTTACAGAAATATCAGTTTGACCATTGAATGGAAAATGGATTAGCAAAGGGAAAGCTCTGCAGGGGGAACAACAAGGAGGCTTTTGCAGTAGGAGGGGGAGAGATGTCACGATAACATGTGGGAAATCCCACTGGAGAGCCTTGCCCAGGGTTTTGCCTGCTATCTCTTTAAAAACCTTCATATGTATTCCACCTATGATAATAATTAATAATAATAATGGCTAACATTTGTATAGCCTATGTGCCAGGCACTATGTTTTACAATTACTTTATTTGATCCTCACAACCACCATGGGAGGTCAGTAGTGTTATTATCCCCATTGTACAGTTGAAGAAACAGAGGCAAAAAGAAGTTAAGTGACATCCCCAGTGTCTGAGCCTGGGTTTGAACCCAGGTCTTCCTGACTCCAGCCCCGAGGCCCTGCCCACCATGCCACTTAGGTGCCCCAACAAGATTGTGATATAGCTCTGCTTCTCTCTCAGCCACACTGCAACCTCATAAACGCTGCTCTGGGCAGCAGCATCCCTAGGCACCTTCTGAAATCTCATTCAGTCCTACCCCTGCCTGACCACAACTGTCTTGTCTCATGGTTTTGTTATTCTTCACACACCATGGGCCCTTTGTACTCACACTGGCACCTACTATCCCTTACCCATGTTGCTGAGACTCTCATCCTCTTCTGACCTCACCAGACTCAATTCCAATCCCTAATACCAGGATCAATTCTTTTCATATAGTCACAGGTTTTTAGAGATGAAAGGGACATTGGCTGTTCAATTGATAGTTGTGGGAATTGGGACCCAAAAAGATGAGGCCACTTAACCTAGAACCCATGTCTTCTGAGTCCTAGCCCCAAGCTCTCTCTTCCTTTTCAGTGTGGTCAACAGGGTCTCATTACAAGTACAATGGTATGACCAGAAAAGGGCTAAGACAGTGCAGTCAAGGACAAAGACATCGCTGACCTTGCAGCACAGGCATCACTGCCCAGGCCTAGTGTGAATGCTATGTCTGAGACACGTACCTTTCCTCATGGCCCAGTTCATAAAATTTTCCCCAGGGACAATGTCAGTACAGGGAACAAAAACAGTCATGTAGGGATAGCCATTCAGTTAACCAGATTCCCCAGCACTACATTTCTTAGTCACAAAGAAGTCTCACATACTTCTCTCTCTTTCTTCCCAAAACAAATAGCTCAGTCAGCACAGTTTAATGAGTCAATCTAATGCCAATCTAGCTGGGAGCTGAGTGCTCCCATTTATTTTTTTTCTCTCTCTCCTGCTGCCTACAGGCTGTTTTAGAGTGGGAGGAGAAGCTGATATACTTGTTAGAATGTTAGACTTTCCTGCTCCACAGATCAGTCTGCCTCTCTGATTGTAATAATAGCTGGTCCCTACACCACCAAAATTCCCTCATCTCTGTGACTTTCTTCCAAGTTGCCCATCGTGCTCAATTCCGGTCCTGGATCACTCACCATCCACCTTCTTCACTTCTACACCTGGGCCACCATGTTTTGCTGGAGGAAATTCAAAACTGTGAAAATTTGGCCATTGTAAGTCATAGTCACAGTCAGTAAACATTATTAAGTGCCTACTATGTGCCAGGCACTGTGCTAAGTGTGGGCTGACATTTCATAGTTAGCAGCACTATCCTTCACCTCTCAGTTACTCCGAGGATCACTAAGTATCTCAGTTGTGTCAAATTTTCTCCCTTTCCTGAAGTTTTTAATATGATTTCCCTCAACTCTCATTTTTACTGCATGACCTTGCCTCCTACATTTTTTTTTATTTAAGCAATTGGGGTTAATTGACTTGCCCAGGGTCACACAGCTAGTAAGTGTCAAGTGTTTGGTCTGAGGCCGCATTTGAACTCAGGTCCTCCTGACTTCAGGGCTAGTGCTCTATCCACTGCGCCACCTAGCTGCCCCTTGCCTCCTTTTTTCTGAAAAAAATCAGAGGCATCTTATATGAAGTCCCACAGCATCCCAATCTTCATTTTAACATATCCCTGTCTCTACATCTGTTTTCTCTTTCCACCCTCTTGTCTGAGGGGAAGAGGTGACCCTTCCTCATCTCCAAAGCCAACCCTTCCACCTGTGCTCCTGCTGCCATCCCACCTCCTGAGAGACCTTGCCTATCACCCTTCCCTCTAGTATCTATGAAATCAGAGTTCAATTCTGGGCCCTCTTCTCTTCCATTTTTGCTCTCTCAGCGATCTCATCAGCTCTCATAGTTTCAGTTACCATCTCTATGCAGAAAACTTCAAATGAACATCTTTAGCCCTCTTCTCTTTCTGGAGCTCCAGGCCTAGACATCCCTATCTGGATTTTCCACCAGGCATCTCAAATTCATCATGTCCAAAACTGAACCCCCTATCCTCCACCCACCCATGCCATCCCCAGTCAGTCCCTCTGAATGACCATCCTTTCCAATGAGGGCACTACCATCCTGCCATCCATTCACAGTCCCAGCCTAAGAGCATTCTCTCCCTCATTCCATGTAGTGAAGTAATTTGCTGCATTTTTTTGGTTGTCACCACAGCTTTCCTCATCTCTATCACCTCTCCACTCACAGCCACCACCTAAGTGGCTGTTTATTGCCTCTAGGAGAAAATACAAATTCCCCTGTTTAGCATTTGAAGTCTTTCAGCATTTAGCTCCAATCTATCTGTGTAAACTGGTTTTGAGTCACTATCCTCACATGTTCTTCTGTCTCCTGTCTCTGTGCCTAGCACACTGTCTGTTCTTCCCATCCCCCCCCAACACTCAAAATATTCTCCCTCTTCATCTCCATTTTTTTAAAATCTCTAGCTCCATTCAGGGTTCAGTTTAACCCATAATTACTCTATGCTTTTTTATCTGAGTACATATTGTTGTCTTCCCACAGAATAGAAGCTTCGAGGGTGGTACCAGATTTCCTTTATATCGTTGTATTTCTAGCACCTAGACCAGTGCCTGATATACAGTAAGAGTTTAATAAATGCTTATTGAATTGAATCTTCCGTCTCTCCTTTTCATTAACTTAGAGAAATACAAAATCACTCACTGTCGGAATTGGAAGGACTCAGCAGCTAGTCTGATCC